CCACCAGTGGGAACACCTTCCTCTCCTGCTTTTGCATAAACTCACCCCACAGCTCAGCAACACCCAGCCTTTCTTCAAGCACTCTTAAGGCATTGCTTACCTAGCCACCACTCAGAGCTGTGTGGTGGACACTCTCTCTCCGTCAAGTAAATTCAATTCAAATGTTGCCCAAATCAGCCCAGGGGCCTCAGGTTGGCAGTGGAAGATATTCCCAAGAGACAGCTTGCTCATACAGACTGGAAATAAGCTCATCTCCTCCCAGACCTGGCTGGTTTGAAAACTTTCTGAGATGTTCTGCTTTTTATAATCAACCACAGCTCTACTTTCTTCCTGCCAATGGGAGAAACATTCCCTGCCCATTGAGCAACATCTGCTCTAAAGATCTGGCAGTAGGCAAAGGAGACTGCAGCACCGAAAGAGTTAAAGACTAATAGAAGGAAATTTAACGTCGTACCTTTCTTTGCAAAGACAACTGAAGGAAGTTTCTCCAATGCTGCTTCCTATGAGTTACAGTATCAGAAAAATATAGCTGTTTTTATCCAATAAAATTAATTTCATTTATAAAAATAGTCAAACATCTTGATTAATTTATGCTAATTTATGTTTATTTTTCTGAATACATAAAAGAAACTAGGAGTGTTAGTTTTAAAAAAACACGTTTGTGCACAAGGCTTAAGGACAGGCAAAGCTGTGACAAACACTAATCTCCTACATCTTGGTGTGAAAGAAATGTTCAGCAAGGTGTCCACTTTGGTCTGTTTTTGCAGGTGTGCAATTTAATTTCAGTAGGCTGAACTGCTGCCATTGAAGAAACAATTCATTCAAAACTGAAACCCCATCTGGGAGTAGGAAAGGAATTATTTTTTACACATTGACAACAAGCAAGAAAAGAAGTGTGAGACCCTGAGATTTCCTCGTTCCGAAAGCCTGAATGATGCAGTCACTGGAAGAACCCATTCACTCACCACAGAAAGACTGAAGTGAGAATAAGCCTCTCTGGAGCTTTGTAGTCCAAGCCCCTGCTCACATTAGGGATAAAATCGTGGTTGGATCAGGTTGTTCTTGCATTAAACAAACCTGCCTAAAAAGACTACAGCAGTTTGTTCAAGCAGGCTTTTATGTATCCACTCCATTTTAGTTTGTATTAATAATTCAAGAAACCATTTTAAAATGCTGTTTTTGCAATCAATTAAATATTCCATTTTCTAAATGTCAAGTAAAAAAATGCTTCATTCACTATTTCCTAACAAAATAAAATGTAAATTAAGTATTTGAATTAATGCACGTTATAACTGTGCGGTGCTTGTACAAATGTGAATAGATTAACATATCTATCAGGTTTAAAAGAGTGCCAATTTTAATGTAAAGTCTATATTTATCAGCATATTCGCATAGCTTTCGGCCAATGACAGTAAACCCACTGAAATAAAGTACAAATGCAGAATGAAGAGGATTTAACCTGTGAATAAAGCCAGCAATTCAGACAATTTTGGTTCGAATCAGAATGCTCACAGGTGCTTTTGTCTGTGGAGATGGGCATCTGTGCCCTGCTCTGGCACCTACAGCCCTTCCCATGGGGTGAAGCACTGGGATATTGGGTTAGTGCTGGACTGGAAGGGGGGTCTTTGCTTGTCTACTCTGTGATGGCTCTGAGGCTTCTTGGCAGGGCTGTCCCCCCTGCCGAGAGGCTCCTCTGGACTCCAACTCGTGTGACCAGAGTGAGTGTCCCCCTTCTCTATCCTCTCTTTTAATTCGGTGTTTTAATCAATGGAGGCATCACAACTTCCTTTGGTGCACTGGAAGGAAGGCACAATCTGGAATGTCTCAGGGGCTCTGTCGACCTCTTCCAGAGACCACCCCACCATCCACACAAGCAGAACTGCTCATGGCCTCCTCCCTAAGCAGCCTGCTGTTTATTTTCTACCAACACACATACAGGTGGGTTTGGAAGCATTTTTCTATAATCTCGGTTTACATTGAAAATTACTTAAAACACGTGCTTTCTGGGGATGCTGCTTGACAAGCCACAGAGTCTGGAATTCACACCTAATCTTTGTGGCCTCCATCTTTATGGGGCTTTGAGCTGACCAGAGATCCTCTCCCTGCCCCAAACCCCCCAATTTAACTCACTGTGCTGACACAGGGTCAGTGAGCCACAGTCCTGGAGTTTCCAAGAGGTTTTCAGTCCTTGCTGCTGCTGGTGGTGTTTGTGGTGGAACATGCAACACGGAAAATGCTGAGAAATAGCCAAAGTATTTGAGACAACAACAAGGAAGAGGAGCTCATCTGCTGGAGGGTGATCCCTCACAAACCAGACAGGCTCTTACAAAGCTCAGGGTTGACATGCAAATGGAAAACAACACTCCAGCGAGTTCTTGTCCCGCTATTACACCTCCCTGCTGCTGGCTCAGACACTCTGTAGGTCTGGGGGTTACAGCTCTCTCAGCCCACCAGGTCCCAGCTGGCACAGCAACTCTGGCTGCAGGAAACTTGTGTGGCAGCCCTAAAAACAAGGGTGCAAACCTGCTTCAGTGCAAAAATTACACGGCTTGTAATGCGTCACTGAGGGTAGAGCCTTAAAGGTGCCAAGTGAACCCTCAGAAATCACAAAGTACTGGAATTAGCATCACCCCCGTGCTCCGCATTGCTGACAGCTATAATTGCTTGATGCAGCAGTAGGGAGTTGACTTCCCCCAGCCTGCAGCATTGATGCATCGTGTACAAGTCACTGTTCCTCCCGTCCTCTTCCCTCCCCCAGAGATGACTTTTGTTTTGCAAAGACTTGAAATGCAGGGGCCTCGCAGCCACCTGGCACACACCTCATCAAACAGCACAGCAGTGCTTCCTGCTCTCAGCCTCCCAGCCCTGCTGGGTGCATGCCAGAGACTCACTGGCTTCTACAGAGTTCACTTCTGGACTATGAGTTTTCTGAAGGGTTCTGACAACCTGGACCAAGTCCAGGATGTGCCACAATGCACGAGAAGTGCTGAGCAGCCAACATGTCCTCACATCCATAACCACCTTTCCAAATAAACAGTAGCTCCCCACAGGCATTGCTACTGGAGCACCAGCCAAGGGGAACTTCTTTGACAGGACCTCCTTCTTTTGCATTTGTTCTTGTTTCCTGTTCTCATTTGCCATAAATCTCTTTCTTGTCATGAAGACACAGGCAGTGTAGCCAGCACCTGCCAGATATCAGTAACACTGTGTGGCACTGCCCAGAGAAGTTGTGGCTGCCCCATTCCTGGCAGTGTTCCAGGCCAGGCTGGATGGGGCCCTGAGCAACCTGGTCTAGTGGGAAGTGTCCCTGTCCATGGCATGAGGGTTGGAACTGGATGATCTTTAAGGTCCCTTCCAATCCCAACCATTCTATGATTCTGTGATTGTATGTTTCTGTGACATGCCACATCAGCGTGCTTTCCTCAGTCCCACATTTCCATCAGCCAGTGAGGTCAGCACTGGACTTCTCTGGGAAGCTGCTCAATCAGAGTGACAGAGCTCAGCCTAGGTTCTTTGTGTTGCAGAGAAGTGGAGGTGATTAACAGAGCTAGGGAGCTGAAGGCCCTGCAATTGTCTAAAATCAGCTAATAAGCAGTATGTCTCAAGCTAAATAATGGTAGACTAGGAACAGCCAAAAATATGCAAGCTCCAGCAGTGTTGCCTGTTTTAATATGAGTAGCAAGAACTAGCTGGAAAAACTCTCCTGATCATTTTTCTTCTAAAGAGCTGCAAAAACATTCAAAATTCAGTGCTGTTTTTAAGCGGTCAGGCTTCAAGCTTCTCAGAAACTCTATTTTCCTAAAAGACATCTTAGAGCAAACTACAGCTCGCCTCATGCCAGGCCCCGCAGAGCTACCTGCTGAACCAAACCCCTTTTTAGCAGGCTGCGTGGCTGGAGCGATTTGAGCTTTTCACCTTGATAGCCCGAATGGCCACAGGGCACTGGCAAGCGAAGTGTCAGCCTTGCAGCCGCAGCCGGCGCATCCGCAGCGCGCTCTGCAGCTGTTCCACACAGCAGAGCCACTGGGATCTCCCGGGATTTGCGGCAGAAGCGGCACAATCCTGCTGCGCGGTCGAAAACTTTGCCCGCTTTGCCCGCGGCTCCTCCTTGGTCCCGGCCAGGCTGTCGCTCCGCAGGGCCGGGGTGACAGGCGGGGGCTGCTGTGCCAGCCTGACTTCTGCTGACGCCTGCACTTCCCGGCGCTGCTGTGCCAAGCGTTTTCCTGCCAGCCTGCCAGCTGCTCACCCGTGCTGGCTGCGGCCGTGTCTCTCCTTCCCTCTCCCATCAGAAGGTGCCCAGCTGCGGGAGGCTCCGCGCTGGCTGCACCCAGGGGCCTCAGATAAGAAATGGGCATGGGTGTGGGGCTCCCTCAAAGTCAGTCCCTGCGGCTCTGGACACTTCTGCGCCGGTGGTCCCTAAACCCCTTTTTGCCGGCAGCAGTCTTCCTGCTTTTTCCTGGGAAGGCTTTACTGTGCAGAGAGAGGTGCTCAGGGCACCTGCGCCAGAAGCAGAGGAAGAGCAGCTGGTGCTCCCTTGACTCCCCGGGAGCTCAGAAAGCGGTGTGTCTGCCTGGGAGAGATCAAGCCAGCTTCCCAACCACATCCTGGAGGAAGTTAGTGCCGGGACACACCTGGGAAGGCATGGGGTGCTTATCAAAACCCTGCAGATGGAATACATGCTGCCTCCTTTCCTCCGCATAAAACAGGCTCTTGTGGTCGTTCCCAGCCACCACGGTGTCCCCAAACAGAGACAGAAGCTCCCAGCTTGGCTCCCGCTGCCCCTTGTCCCCATGACCCTTTGAGTGCCTCCGGCCGCTCCGCCCCGGCTGCGGCGGCCGCCCCTCCCCAGCTCCACCGTGACATCGCTGCCGGTTCCGATGGCGGTGCCGTGGCCAGGGAATGGTTCCACCGTTGCCAAGGGCAGAACGCGAGCGCTCAGACTTCCTGCATCAGCCCTGCTCGGTGTGTGAGTGACTCCCACCTGGCCACCGAGCAGCTCCATGATGCTGAAGCGTGTGGCAGACACATCGTGGCTCCTCTGGCTGCTGAGTAAGTGCCTGCCCTTGCCGGGCCACCTCAGAGCCGGGGCTGGAGCCCCTGTTCTGCTGCTGCCACACCCCTGTCTCTCCCAAGACCACCCCACTTGGCCATGTCGGCCATCGGCTCTGCTCGCCCCTTGGGCAGCTGGAGGCTCTTGCAGGGGACTTAGGGCGGGGGACAGGGGAAGGTGCGGAGGCGGCAGGAGAGGGGGCCCAGATGGAAGCAGAGAGGGGAGGGAGGAGATGGAGGGATGTAGGGATGTCCCCCTGGACAGGGATGTGCCTGCCCAGAGCATGGTGCAGGGGGCAGGGGAGCCACCACCATTGTGGGTGCCTCTGGAGGCTGGGGCTTTTGAGGGGAAAAATTTTAAAAGCACATCAACACCCCCCACCCCCCCAGAATACCTCAAACACAAAAAACCCCACAAACCGCCCCCCACAAAAACACACATACACACATAAAAAGGAAACAACAAAACCAAGATTAAACCACTCTCCCCCAATCCAAACCAAGCTCACAATAAAATCTGACTTTAAAAGTTTGGGTTTTTTACTTCATCTGCATTCTTTTCCCCCCTTTTCTCTGGGGCTTCTGGTTACCCTAGCACCCTGTAGGCAGGGGTGATGGAGAGAGACTTCAGGCCAGCATCTGAAGTATTTCTCCCAGCACTCTGCTCTGTGCCAGCAGGCAGGAGCAGGCCAACCTGCCAGCTGCTCCTCCATTTCCACCCGCCTGTCCCTGCCAAAGCCAGCCTAGCCCGTCACTCGTGTTTGTCCCTAGGTGTGCTGACCTTGCCGACGGCCGCTGTCGTTGCGCCGGTGCCGCCCATTCCGGGCAGCCCGCTGTCGGACTGGGAGTACCAGGAGTTCTTTGCGAAGCTGCACCCTCCCTGGCAGGCGAACATGTTGTGTCTGCTGCGCCAGGCGCACGGCTGCCTGAGCCCCAGCATCCTGCACCTGGACCAGGAGGAGAACCACGGAGAAATCCCCGAAGGTAAGGGCATCACCCTCCTCCAGGCTCAAAGGAGCACGTGGACCCAGCTGGAGCAGTGTGGCTGTTTCTCTGCCCCAAAATGCCACAAGACTCTGGGAATGGCAGGGGTTGGTTTGGTCTCTACAGCCCAAAGAGCAGCTTGAAGCAGAACTAGAGCACACTGGCTTTTGCGGCCTCTCTGAGCATCCCTTTCAGTGCTGCACCACTTCTGTGGAGTGAAAAAAAAACTTTTCCCAAAGGCCAGCCTAACCTCCTAAGCAGGAATTTGCATGGTTTCCCCCGCTACGTGTTGTCTGACACCACAAAAAGAGTTTGTCCTCTTGTAGGTTTCCTTCAAGCCCTTAGGGGCTGCTGTGATTCCTCCTCTTGACCCAGCTGAGCAAGCACAGCTGTCCCAGCCTCTCTTTACAGGTCATGGGGCTGAAAGGCGCAGCCACTTCAGTGGCCCTTCCTTTCTCCACAGCTCTGTCGCTGGGGTGGCAGGAGGAAATACTGGCCACAGTTTTCTCAAGCTCAGTGTAGCTCCTCGTCTCTTACCAGCTCCTTCCAACTTCATCTGAGGGTTAATGCAGAATCTTGGCTCACGGGCTCTCGTAGGTCTTTAAGAAAACTTGAGATGATAAGCTGCCTTTTTAAGTGTTTAACATTTCAGGAGCCAAGAAACATCCCAGTTCAGAAAGCACCATAGCAACAGCACCCTTCAGATCTCTGCAGTCATATTTTCCCTGCACCCCTGCATCAGAGAATTTAAGTGGTATAATTATATCTGTGCAGCTGAAAAACTTGGGACTAGTTTTGTTGTATATTTCTTCAGATGAAAAAAAAATAGGAGCAATTTTCTCATAAAAAAATATGTCTTTATATTTAGATATGAACGTCAATGAGCTGAATGATCAGCCAACTGTGCTTATTTGGACTGCTCCTTGAGGGCAACTATTTCTTGCTGGTTTCTGCAGCTGTGTTGGGGGAACGAGTCCCACTCCACATCACCAGACCCAGGGATGGGTCCTGTGCTCCTCACTCACTTTTGGGCTCCTGCAATCAATCCACTATGCCATGGGGCTTTGTGCACCCAGGGTCTGTCCCTGGTTACTCTCCTTGTGGTGCCCAATCCCCCAGCACTGCTCTTTGTCATGTCCAGCCACACTCCCTCTGCTGCTGCCTTCAGAGATTCAGTTGTCAAGAACAGAAGCAGCTGGAAATGCCAGGAGATGGGACAGTTTTGCAGGTTGCCCTCTTCACCTTTTCTCCCATCCCTCAGCCTAACACACCTACCCAGCAGAATTTATTCCCCTTTGTGTTAACTTTTTTTCCAGTTTGGGGGCTATTTTGGCACATTTCAGCCAGGCTGAGAGGTGGAACAGAGTGGCAGAGTGTGTGCCCTCTCATGCTTAGCCTCTGCTGTCTTCACAGAGCTGTGGCAGTGCTGTCTCCACCCAGATATCCATGAGCATTAATTGTGCCCATTCAGGTGCAGTGCTGAGGAAGGCACTGTCCTTGTAATTCAAACAAAGGACAGTGTGAGGATCTGGAGTGTTCCCTGCAATACCTTGTGATTTAAACAAGGGATGGGGTGGGGTTCTGGAGTTTTCCCTACTAGTTGGGTGTTTTTCTGGGCTGGTGTATATCTGAAATTCTACTTTTGATGGCGCAGCTGTTTGCTCAGCACAAGTGAATACAGGGTAAAGGATGGTGCATGAGCAATATCAGGAGAGCAGTTCAATTTCACTGCTAATGCCCTCCCTCTCAGCCAGTACTTTCCCTGTTCTCACAGGGCTGGCTATGTGCCAGCCAGGCCCTGCACTCCTAGAGCAGAGGGAGCACAAGATCACCCAGTTCTTCAGGGTTTTCTGCTCTCCTGCGTGCCCTTGGCTTTCCTGCAATCACTGCAAGAGCTGCAGTTCTGGAGTCAGTGTGTTGGCAATGCTGGTCAAGACTGCAGTGTGTGTATGTGTACAGGCACAGGCTTTGCCAGCAGCATCCTTTCCCTAAGGACCCTCCTCCATCCCCTGCAAGGCTTGAATCAATGTTAAATCACATTGCCCTGAAGAATTTGTCTCCTCTGGAGCCATCTGCCTGGAAAAGCTGTGGCAGCCCCATCCCTGATCCAACAAGACCAGGCTGGATTGGTCTTTGAACAACCTGGTCCAGTGGAAGGAGTCCTTCCCTGCCCATGACAGGGGACTTGGAACTTGATGATTTATAAGGACCCTTCCAAACCAAACCATTCTCTGGTGCTCCCAGGCCCAGTCTGGTCATCTTTTTAACCTGTTATATCACTACTTGCCTTTTTTCTCTTTCTTAAACCCAGCAAGGACTAATAACAGAAGCATCAGATCCTGGGAACAGGAAGTTTGTGTCTCTGTCACAGGGAAGATAACTGTGTGAAAAAGGGCAGAAGGACAAAGTGAAACCCTCAAGGGGCTGGAGGGAAAAGAGATGTTGTGCCTGGAACTGGGAGCTCTAAAAGCCCAAGGCTGTGATCATCACCTGGGGGCACACAGCTTGGATTTTCCCTGCATCCATGAGCTGCCCTCCGAGAGGGTCCCCACCTCTTGCTGCACCCAGGCCTGCCCCCATCCCACATCTCTGTCTCTAGGGCCAGTCTGCAGTGAATTCACAGAGGTGGTGCAGTTCCAGACCTTCTGCCAGTTCGCCCAGTATCGCTGCCTCAAACAACAGTTCTTCATCAAGGTACGGAGTGGATGTGGCATGGGTGGGGGGAGTATCTCTTGGGAAGTGGAAGGGTGAGGAGGGAGGGAAGATAACATAGTGAGAGTCACGTTTCTCCCTCTCTCCTCCACGCAGCGAATCCCATGTTTGAGTTGGCCTCTAACAAGCCCTTTCCCAATGGAGCCATCCAGCACCACCAACTCCTCGGCCGAGGGCAGAGGCTCCCCTGTCGCACAAGGTATGGCTGCACCGAGCTGTGCTGGGCACCCCTGCCCACCTGCTGGTCTCCTGTAGCTGCTGGGCACCCCTGCAGCTTTCTGTCTGTCCTCCAAAAGCCGCCCTTGGCCGCTCCATCCCTCTGTCCCACCACTCAGAAGCAGGCTTTTCTGTCACCTGCTGATGCCGTGCTGCAGGACCATGCAGAAAACCTTCTCAAGCTCTCTCGTGCACTGTTAGGTCAGAAACCACTGCCAACGAAGTACCCCACAGCCACGACAAAGGTGCCCATACCCTGGCAGAAGAGCAGGACTCCACACCCACCAACTCTCTGGGCTTCCACCTCACCTTCCAGGGTGGAGTCCTCTGATGAACAAAGCCTGAGGAAAAACATCTGGCACCTGATCCATTCGGCCCTTTCCTTGGATGCCTCCTTGGACACCAAGGACTCCTCTTGGAACTTCACCACCTCAGGCCCAGGACGCACATCAGAGCAGAAAATTCCCCCCCGAGGCAGGTGAGGGGAAGTCTGCTGTTCCTGGGTACCACACACCACCCGTGTCCTCATGCACACCAGACAGCAGCCCCAGGGCATCCATGTCCCTGCTTGGAGCAGGTGGTGAGTATGGGCAAGTGTTCTGGAGCAAGCTGTCCCATCCAGAGCAGGAATGTACCTCGGGACCCCTCAGGCACCCCTCGCTCCAGCACAAAGTGAGCAGGGGGAGGGTGATCCAGCACTGTTAGTGCCTGAAAATGGCACTGTCCTTGCATCCTGAGCAGAGTGAGTTTAGTCTGAGCCTGAGCTGCAGGCAAGGCTTTGTCCCCTGCCTGTGTTTCCCCACACTGTGGCCATCTGCACTGTGCAATCACCTCTGCCCTCGTCCTCCTCCAAACGCACATCCCAGGAGTCTGGGTGATGTGCAGAAATAGTGTCCTTGCAAACACAGGTCCTTGGGATGTGTCTTGCTGTGCTCCTTGCCTCTCGATGTGCAAGGCAGACGTTTCTTAGAGCAGCCTGACCTGAGGAACATTCCTGGGAGTGTACTGTCCTCACCCAAGGGGAGCCACAGCAGCCCTGGGCTAGGAAACAGCACAAAGCTAGGGCACAAAGCACAAAGCAGGGCCGCTATTTCTCCTCGAGCACGAGCACCTCTCTGCACTTTGGATGTGTGCACAGCTCTTCCTAGGGTGTTTCTGGTTCCGTATTCTGGTTTTGGAGGCAGCATCACAGCAGTTCAGCACTGAGCCCTGCACCAGGCCAGCTTGCTGCAAGCCTTTCACACACCCTCCTCAGTCCCTCTGGCCTATGGATGCTTTAGGAACTTATGGAGCATGTTGAGCTCTTCTCAGCTGGTCTGCCAGGATCTGTTTGCCTCTGTGCTCAGGTAGCTCGGGCTAGTAACAGAGGAAAGACCTGCAAAAGGATATTATGCTTTCACTCAAATTTACTTTTGATCCTCTAGTACCTTGTGGCTGAGGACCATTTGCTTTGACTGACATGCAAATATTACTTTGCTTGCCTAGAGGAAAAAAAAAAAAAGTGTCTAGATGCGGTTTTCATGGAGAAGTCATTTTGGTTTTGCTCTCTTACTGGCCAGTGATGTTCCTGTAAGCGCACAGATTTTGTGCCTGATCGCACATCTGTGGTTTCTCTTTAACACGCTGCCTACCACTGCCACAGTGCAGCCAGAGGTTCCATTTCTGCTTTATGTAAAGATGAATTGTATCATGTTGTTAAAGCCGTAACTGTCTTCTTGCAAGCCTCTAACATATGTCATCCTCCTTCCTAATACTGTAGGAATACTTTCACTGCCTGGAAGGAGTTTTCCTGGTGTATGAGCTCTCAGGCAAAATTGTGTTTCATTGAGAATTTCGTTCTCCCTGCCTCTGAAACTGAGCCTTGCTGTGACTGAGTTGTATTGGGATTACTGGGGGACTGCTGTGATTGCAGATGACACTCGCTATTCTGCTGCAGAGTTTCTCAAAGACACTAATGCTGACTGTGTGTCTGTAACCGGCAGCCGAGCCCCATCAATCATGCTAAGCAAAGCTTAAACCCCACTGAGGATAAAGAGGCAAGATAGACCTCGCCTGTCGGCTTTGCCACTCGCCACATCCTGCCTCCTCTCAGACGGACTTCAAAGCATGACCTAAAAAAGGGGCAAAATGCCTGGAGGCATTTCCATTCCAGTGCTGGGTGGGACTGGTGGCTGTGCACAGGTGCCATTCAGCATCTGGTTTAACACAAGGTGGGCAGGGCTGTGATGAGCACAGATCCCAGAGCTGTGTGTCCTCCCTAGGGTCTTATGTCCAGCAGGACATCCATCCTTCTTATTCATCCCTTGTGGCTTATGGCAGCTGCTCTGGCAGCTATTCCAGCTTTCATAGTGCCTGATGAGGCCAGCTGTGATCTTTAGAGGGAGACAGGGCAAGGGTAATACTACAAGAAGGATCTGCAGCACTTTTCTGTGGTCTTTCTGGTAATGGTGAATCATTGGGCGGGAGGGGGAAACGACAATTATTGCACCTATTTTCTATTTTTAGTTCTTATTGTGCTTTCTGCCTTATTTCCCAGTATTTCCTCTCCTCAGAGTTATCTCTAAACCATGATTCAGTCTTGCAATATGCTAAAGAGAGCTCTGTAGCCCTTACCTTACAAAGCCCGTGCAACTCCCATTTTCTGCAGCAACTTTCAGTGTCCCTTTAAAACACCCCTATGTTCCAGCTCTGTGTGCACTACCCAGCGATTGGATTCAGCATTTGGGTACATGCAAGGACATCAGCCTCCCCTCCCTGCTTGTCTGTTTGCACAAAGAATTGCATTTGCCCTTTTCCCCAGAGCTTCCCACTGTCATGTCATTTGCCAGCTACAGCCCCTACACCTCTTTCAGCATCACGGCTGTCCGGATCCAGATCTGATTCTGTTGGTATTCACATGTGGATGCTCACCTGTTCATGTGAGCCCAGCTTCCCCAGCAAGGCTGCTTCAAGCCCTCTCAGAATCCCAGAATTGTTAGGGTTGGAGATCATTCTGTCCAATCCCCTGCCAAGGAAGGGTCACATAGAGCAGGTGACACAGGAAAGTGTCCAGGTGGGTTTTGATTGTCTTGAGAGGGAGACTCCATGACCTCCCCGGCCAGCCTATTCCAGTGCTATGCCAACCTTATTGTAAAGAAGTTCTTCCTGATGCTGAGGTAGAACTTTTTGTGTTTTAGTTTGTGCCCACTGCTCCTCATCCTATGGCCAGGCACCACTGAAAAGAGTCTGGCACCATCCTCTTGGCACCCACCCTTGAGATATTTTTGTGCAGTGGGAGGTACATACACTCCTGGTGCCTCCTCCTCCTCCTGCTTTACCCCTCCAAAAAGTCCTTGTGGTGCTTATCTACATCCCCAGAGGCTTACAGTTTAAGGCCAGACCCTTCATTAAAAATGCCATCCCCAGGAAAAAACCTCCTTTTGAATTATCATCACACATAACCAGCCGTGGCATGCAGTCAAATATCTTTTTTCTCTTTCTGAAGCTGTTAAGAGTGGCTTTTTCATAACTGGTTTTAGTTTCCTGCAGCAACCCCCCTAAATCAGAAGTTTCCAAGTGCTGGAAAGCTGCTGTTCACTCCTTATCTTCTCTTCTGCTCGCCTCAGGTGCTCACTGCACCTCAGCCAGCCAGTATCAGGAAGGTTCAGCAGCTGAAAGCTAATGGCCCAAATCCTTGTCATTACATGGCAGGAGAGGCGGATGCTGCTCACCAGCACTCTTCAGAGATAGCACTGAAGCGGGCTCTGTGTGTCCTTCCACATCCTGAGATGCTAAACTATGATAAGCTCTTACCTGAAGTTTTCTCTTTTGCCTTAGATCAATTACTGATCTCAGCCCACAGATTCTTCTTAATCTTAGGGTTTTTTTTTTTCACAGTCCCTTTGGATCTTTGCCTCACAGTACTCTGTAGGCTTTTTCCAGGGCAGTGGTTAGGACAATAACATGCAGAGGTACTAAGCTAGGGAGGGATTTGCATGAGGAAATCACTTTAGATAGACCCATCCCTTTCCCTGAAGCATGGTGAAACCTCTGTGCATCCACAAACAGCTCAGCAGTGTGTCAACGAGTGGAGAGAACCAGCAGCAGTGCTGTTATACTCACCCAGAGGTGGTAAATCAGCCCATAAATTTGCAACTGTGAGGCCAGAAAACCTCACAGCAGAGATGGAGAGCAGAGAAAGAAGAGGAAAAGGATGCGACACAGAGCACAGCAGAATTTCTTGGCAAACTCAGGCAAGTGGCACAACTCAGGTTTCTGTGTGGCTCATATCTTTTAACATCCAGGTCTAGGAATTGCCCTGACCCTGCACCCTAACCTTCCTGCTCAGCACAGGACATGAAGTCATGTCTGGTGAGCCGGAAGAAAACAACTGTGCTATATGGTTGAGCCACAGACTCCTCTCCTAACAGAAGTTTGGGATATCGTTTTGAAGTCTCCAAACTGTGGAGGAAGCACCCATCAGCTGTTGCCATTCTGAGCACCCTTGGTGTCAGGCAGATGCAGTTTGTTCTGGTTTGAATGGATCTTGCCCCAAATTCCAGTCACCAAAAGTCATTACTCATCCACCTTCTGACAAGGAGAGCTTTACAGCTGAAGCCCTCCTTGGTAAAAGGTCTGACTGACTGAGTGGGTACCCACTGGTGTCTTTGCTCAGCTGAGTGATGCTTTCTTAGCTTAATCTCTAGGTGAACGTTTTCCTGGCCTTAGGAAATCTCAGCTTCATGACCTTCCTTCAAGTTCTCCATCCTTTTTTAAATTTTTTTTTTAATGCTAATCTGAAGGTCTCCAAGAAGTTTCAGCTATTCTCAGGAAAGCTTGTCCATACATGTTAGCCCATGCATGGATTTTAAGGGCATTTTAACATAAGCAGTTGCTGCTCTTCTTTACTCTCTGTCAGATCAAAGTTTGTTTATTTATCACAGTCTTGGTTTCCAGACACAAGAGGCAAATATCTAATGAGCATGTTTACCTCTTCTGCATCATTGATGATTGAAACCAACCATCCTTGTCTGCTAACAGTTCCATACTATGTTTACAAGTTCCATTGTTCCTAAGAGATGCCAAATATTCTCATTGCTCTCATCCCATTGTCCTTAAATTTTCTACTTTTAGCTACCCGTGTCAGTTTGGATGAACAGTAAATTCATGGTTAACAGGTTTTTCCCCGTTTCTGCCAAATACTTGGGAGGGAGGCTTAATATGTGACATCCTCCAGACCCAAATGGGGCTGTCCGACGTTCAATACTCAGCAGACATCTAACGAGCATCTCCTCACTGTGCACTCAGATGGATGAAATTAGGCAGCAGCTGCTGCAGGGACCCTGGGGAAGCTCTTCAAGCTGTGCTTCTCATCCAGTTCCTCTCACATGCCCTCAAAAGCTCAGCAACCCCCTTGTAGCCTCTGTGTCACGCAGGCATGTACAGACCCTGCAGGGAGCGCCATTCCTGCGTGCAGTTTAGCCAAGAGTCCAAGGTTTCTTTGGAAGGGATTTTTTGCTTTGTTTTGGGGTTGTTTTCAGTTTCTAGCTAAAGATGCATCTCTTCAGTTTGTGACAAGGAATGAGATGACTCCCTCCTTTCCCTGTCAGCCTTCTAGCCCTGCAGAATGATGAAGCAGTGCTGGTCCTGTGCTACGCAGTGCTGGAGGGAAATTGCCTCTCATCGATGCTCACCATGGCCTGGAAGGAGATGGAAAAAAGAGTCTTTGGGTTTGGAGACTTGGTAAAGGCACCAATGTCCACCTCTGGCCCCCACTGTGTGCAGGCCACCCCCTGAGGGAAGCTGACCTGGGTGACCAGGGAGGCAGGCTCCAAGCCAGGAATATGGCAACTCCTCAGCCTCCTCTTTTGGGGGGTTCTCAGTCTCCTTTTCCCCCCTGACTCCCTGCCGGATCCCCCCCAGGTGTGTGACAACCTTGGGCGGCACCACGTGGACCTGTGCCCCGACTGTGCTTTCTGCTCGCTGAAAAGGGAGCAGTGCCAGAACATCAAGACCCTGAACCGCGTTCACTGTGACTCAGGCAGCTTCTCCACCTACATCAACTCTCAGATCTCAGCCCAGCACGGCGAAATAGAGGGCAAGGTACCGAGCGAGCTGTGTGTCCTGCTGTCTCTCAGGAGGAGCCTGGACTGGGAGCTGGGGAAGGGGAGGAAGAAGCATGGCTCACTTTATCCCACCCCTTTGCAGTCCAAGTCCTCACAGACCCTGAAGCACTACAACATGGACTTTTTGAGAGGGATAAGGATGGAGTACTGGTGCAGCCGGATGGCCATCTATGGCTGTAGAGACCCTGCTGTGACCCTCTGGCTGAAGGCAGAGTATGACGCCTTCCAAGATGGGGATGGCTCGGGAAAGGTGGGTGATCATCAGTGGATGTTTCCATCCCTCCTTCTCCTCTTCTTTCTCTTACCTTCATTCCCTTGTTGCCAGATCTGTGACTCGAGCGGAGTTCAGCATCCCAACCATTGCATGTTCAAGAGCTACCAGTGCCTCCTGAAGAGCATCTACAACCAGAGGGTGAGAAGCAGCTACGCTGCCTTTTGTACAGTCTGCTCTTCCATGGCTGGCCCCTCCACTGCCAGCCCCAAGTCCCTGCTGGATTCACTGGCCCACTGTTTTTCCTTCTAGGAGGACAGAATTGGGTGTGTTTGGGGGAGGTGGGGAGTTAAATAGTGGCCCCAGAACAAGTGGCGTGTCATTGGTGGGTGGGATTTGCACAGACGATGTGAGGGATGATATCCCTGTATACCCCTGAAGGGCAGGATCTCCTCCATCTGCTGGGAGCTTCCTAGGCAGTAACAAAACCCCAAATCACCAGAGCAGGACAGAAGACTGGCCTGTATCCTAGGAAACAGTTCAGCTGATCCTTCCCTCTTCCCCTGGTGCCCCCATCATCCCAGCCTCCAGGTGCCATCCATCACGGAGGTCTGCTTCCTTAGGGAAGGATGGGGAGTGGTAGCATTCCTATGAACCCAGGGTCTCCTTGCAGGTGACTCGTGTGCAGTGCAGGCCTAACAAGGCGTACCGAGTGCTGAGTGTGAAGGAGGGAGACAAGGAGGTGCGGCTGTGGCAAGAGAAGTTCCAGAGCCTCTCCAGGCAGCAATCAAAAAATGATTAAAGTTCATAAAGACCTTCAAGATAGTCAAGGCCTTTGACCAAATACCACCATGCCCTCTAAACCATATCACAAAGTGCCACGTCTACTTGTTTATTGAACACTTCTAGGGGTGGTGATTTCACCACTTCCCTAGGGAGCCTGTTCCAATGCCTGACCACCCTTTCAGTGAAGAAACTTTTTTCCTGATACCTGCTTGAACCTCCCCTGGCTCAGCTTAGAGCCATTTCCTCTTGTCCTGAGGCTGCCTGAGAGAAGAGACCAACTCCCACCTGGCTGCAGCTTCCTTTCAGGGAGTTGTAAGAGTGATCAGGGCTCCCCTGAGCCTCCTTTTCTCCAGGCTAAACAACTCCAACTCCTTTAGACACTCCAGACCCTTCACAGGCTTTGTTGCCATTCTCTGGACACACTCCAGCCCCTCCATGACTTTCTTGCAGTGAAGGGCCCAGAACTGGACACAGCACTCAAGGTGTGGCTCACCAGTGTAGAATACAAGAGGACAATCCCTGCTCTGGTCCTGCTGGCCACACTATTGCTGATACAGGCCAGGATGCCATTTGCCTTCTTGGCCACCTGAGCACAGCTGGCTCATGCTCAGCTGCTGTCACCAGCACCCCCAGGTCCTTTTCCTCTGGGCAGCTTCCCAGCCACTCTGCCCCCAGCCTGTGGTGCTGCCTGGGGTGGTTCTGACTGAAAAGCAGGACCTGACACTTGGCCTTACTGGACCTCACACAATTGGCCTCAGCCCATGGATCCAGCCAGTCCAGATCCCTCTGCAGAGCCCTCCTGCCCTCCAGCAGATCAACACTGCCACCCAACATGATGTCACCCAGGAACTTACCCTTGATCCCTTCATCCAGATCATTGATAAAGTTCTTAAACCGGACTGGCCCCAGTACTGAGCCCTGGGAAATCCCACTGGTGACCAGGTGGATGTAACTCTATCCACCACCACTCTCTGGGCCCGGCCATCCAGCCAGTTTTTAACCCAGCAAAGAATGCACTGGGTCAGGCCGTGGGCTGCCAGCTTCTCCAGGAGAATGCTGTGGAAGTGGTGTCAAGGGCTTTACTGAAGCCCAGGTAGGAGATAACACGCACAGCCTTTCCCTCACCCACTATTGGGGTCACCTGGTCATAAAAGGAGATCGGGTTGGTCAAGCAAGACCTGCCTTTTATGAACCCATCCTGGTTAGGGCGGATTCCCTGGCTGTGCTGTGTGATTGCACTTGGGAGAATTTGTTCCATAACATTCCCTGACTGAGGTCAGACTGAATGAGGGGAGCCTCACTGTGGCAGTTGCTGGAACTCCTCCTGGAAACATTTCTCCAGCCAAAGGAAGAGCTGAGCACTGGAGAAGGCATTTCTTGTATGTCCAGAGACAGGGGAGGGACCAGAGACAGGGACTCTCCAGGTCCCAAACACAGCATGTGAGCAATAAGCTTTTGGTGCGTTCCACTGCGGCTGGGTTTTTTTTTCTCAAGTTTAGTCGTTCATTTGGCCTGTGTGCTCCAACCCTCCATCCCGAATAATAATAATTCAAATCAGCACAGCGCGGGGCGGCTGGCGGGAGGCTGCTGTGTGGGGAGCACACAGGAGCTGATGGCACCCCTGGGCACCTGCCCAGCTCTCTGCAGTCCCTCAGCAGCACCTGTGCAGCTCCACGAGGGGCCGGCACTGGACGGAGCAGCACCGGCCCAACTTGCAGCTGCAGCGCTGCACCCTCCGCCCGGGCCGTGTGGCAGCCCTGCGCTGCACAGCAGCTCCCAGCCGGCCATGGCCAGCCAGGTCCAGCTGCACTGGCCCCCAGAGGTGCCCAAGATGCCGTGCCGAGGGTCCCGGCCGCAGAACTCTGGGCTGGCCCGCAGGCAGACCAGGTCGTGAGCCATGCAGGGCTTGAAGCGAGAGCTCTTGGGCACCAGGAGCTTGTGGGAACCGACCTGCTTAGGGTAAACCTCTGCTGCCCCCTCAAATTTTTCCTAGAGGATGTTGCCCACGTGGCGGAGGGGTGGTATGACCTTCCAGCAGGTGTGCACCTCGCAGGAGCCTCACATGCCATGGCACTGGCATTCCACCTGCATGTGGGCCTGGAGAGCCTGCAGAGCAGGAGGCAGCTGCCAGCCCGAGCAGGGACACCCTTCCCAACACCTCCCATGTGCTGCTGCTCCTCCAACACTCTGCCTGTGGGGCTGGAGATCAGGGCAGGGGCAGCAAGGCAAGGCAAAGAGCAAAATTGTCTTTTTAAGCCAAGTCGATATGAACAGATGGAGATCCACTCTGTGGGAAACAAGATGATTTGGGTCTGTAAGATAAATCCCTGAGGCAGAGAGGGGGATGGGGGAGCTGTTCTGACCTGTGGGGCTGTGGGGAGGGGAACAGATTTGGCCAGAGGCAGAGGATGTTCAAGGGACCAGATCTGCCTGCAGCCCCTGCAGATGTCTGTCTTTATTGAAGAGAGGCTGGAGGGGCAGGGAAGCCCTTCAGAACAAAGCAGAGCAAATTATTTCCTAAATCATAGCTGGGATCTGTGCAGAAAAGGAGACTGCACAGACGTGACTAGGGGAGGCTGGGACCCCCTTCCACACAAGCAGGACCCGGCTCAGGGTAATCAGCACCGTGCTGGGCTAGGAAAGGCAGCGGGATGCAGACTCCTCTGAGAGCATGTGGCTGCCCTGAAGGGCCTGTTGGGCCGTGGGGCTGGACTGAGCTCTGCCGAGCCAGGGAGAAGCCCCCACAGCCAGGTTTGCTCCCAGCCCATGTTCCTGCCCTTACCTTCCTCCCAGCCTCATTGTTGTGCAGGTTCACGAGCGCTCGGCTGGAGGAGACACCACAGCTCCTCTCAGGGCTGTCCATGAAGGCTTGAGAGAAGGTAATCCCATGAGAAAGGTTATCAGAGCATCCTGACCACTGGAAACCTGCAGAGGGAAAGTGGCCTTGAGACAAGGAAAGAGACTGTCTGGTCTGGTCTGTCCCCCTCATGGACCTTCCCCTCTGCCACCTGCTCCCTGCCACTCTCTTCTTCCTTCACCTTCAGGGCTGACTCCTCAGATCTCACAGTTGCAGCCACACTTGTGCAGCTCCCCGCGGCTGCAGGCAGGGGTCACAGCAAAAGCAATGCTGGCAGCAGAGATGCATGGGTGAGAGCAGACTCCCACGTGCCTGCTGGGACAAGAAATGGCACCAGTCTGCAGAGGGCAAAGGCACTTACAGGGCACAGTGTGGGAAAAGAGGCTGTCACGGCATGCAGGAAGGATGCCGTCAGCTGGAGACTGCTCGGGAGACATAAATGTCAGGATGTTTACCCAGTGCAGCTGCTCCCAAGGCTGGAAGTCAGTGAGGGACATGGCTTTGCGGCAGGGTGGGTGACAGGGTCACAGAGAAAATTTACCAGTCTGCATAGCTGGTACTCAGTATGGTCCAATGGGACCAAAATGCCAAATATGGCAAAATGGCAAGAAATGTCTCCAGAACGCTAATATGTGTGAGAGCATTCAGTTCAATTTGCTCTGTGCTGACAGACATGTTAGTGTGTGGAAGAAGGCACTGGCCACTCTGGGGATGGGTCCAGTGTGACCCTTGCACACTAGCCCAGGAAAGGCTGATGTGTCAAGGGAACAGTAGGCATACTGGAGGGACACCATGCCAAGCCTGCCCATGCCACCACTCCCTCGCTGACCTTGGATGGTGGCCTTGCCAAAGACCTGCAGCCCCTGCAGGGTGGAGCAGATCCAGCAGCAAGAGTGTAACTGGTACTGGCACTCGAGGACAGCCAGCTCTGGTGTCACTTCACTGCCTCCATGGTTGCCACATGCCGCTGGCAAACACGGGCCTGCTCTTCCACCAGCCCCATCAGGCCTGCACAGCTCCTGGGCTCCCAGAGGACTGGCTGCAGGGAAGTCTGCTTGGCCAGGGATCTGTGGGACACAGGAGAGGTTCGGTTGCAGATGGGCTAGAACCGGGGCCTTGCCCTCTAGAGCAGGACTAACCCTCTCTAGCCATATCTTAGAGCAGAAATGGGGCAGGCAAGGGGATGTGGCCATGTTGTCTGTGAATTGGACATTCTTGCTCCCCATTCTGGTCTGCTCCTCTTCAGCTTTACCATCCCTCTCCCTTCATACTCCCAGAGATGCCCCTTCTGCTTTTTAGTTGCCCAGATTCCTTCTTCCACCCTGTTCTCACCCTATTTTCTTTGGAGGCAGCATCTCCCTAGGTGGCTTTCCAACCCAGACAATACAAGCACAAAGCATACTTAGAGCCAGGTCACAGCAGTGATGTGCTGCACGTGGATCAGCACCATGTACAGCCACACCACCTCCATCTTCTCCGTGGCAAAAGCTCATCACCTTCAACCCCGGTGCAGCAGCTGCCTAAATCTCCTCCTGTGGCTTCCCACAGCCTCTGCCCAACAGTGGCTTTTACAGCAGCTCCAGCCCTGCACTGCAAAGCAGGGGTAGCCCCAGTCCTGGGCAGTGACCATGGGCTGTCCAGGTGTGCCTGCCAGCATTGGAGATCCTGTAGCCCACAGAGCCCTGCTGGGCTGGCCCTGCCAGGTGTGTGCCAGTGCTACAGCTCATGGGAGTAGAGACACCTTCTGCCCCCCTCACCCACATCCACTGTTTTTAAAGACACTCCTTCATCTCTCTCCACCAGGCTGGAGACTCTTCTTCTCTACCCTGCAGCCCACTTAGCTACAGCAAACAGACACAGCCCAGCTGCTCCCTGGCTCTCTTAACTCTTTCCCTAGCAGGTCTCCCTTCACCTCCCTCATTTTCTTCCCCATGGACTGTCCTTCCCCAAGATCAGTCCTTGTCCTTCTCTTAGGAGGCACAATAAGGTGGCTGCCCCCCTTCTCATTGAGTATCCCTTTCCTAAGAGCCCCTGGCAGCCCAGGAAAATGTGAGCTGTGTGACGAGGGAGCTGAAATGTCCCAGGACAAAAGACTGCCGTTCCCCCAGCCAACCTGGGAAATGCCAGCTGTTCCCACCGCCTTGGAAGGTAAAACTCCTCTGCAGCCACAGGTTTCTGCTTTTCCTCTCTGAATCATTCAGAAAGTAAAGCAGGGCTGTTCTGGCCCTGCTGTGCTTCTTCCATAAAGGGATTCACCACTTTGCTCTGCTCACCCATGTTTTTCTGCACAAAGAGGTCTGGAGAGCACTGTGGTTTATCAGTCATCTTTTCAGACCTAAGCAGCCTCTCACTTGAACGTGCATTTCACCTCTCTCCTTGCCTTCCCAGCACCCTGCATCCCGCCTCCTCTTGGGTCCTTGCTCCTGCTTTCTGGAGCCAACACTCCAGGGTGGCAGGCATGTTGGGATCTGCAGCATCAGGGTGTAGTCTCCAACACACACCCCAGCAATCTGGTCTTACCTGCTGCTCACTCAGACAGCGGTGAGGAAACGCCGGGGGTTGAGCTGCTCTTCCCCACGAGCTGAGCCTCCAAGAGACAGCGAGGGGCAGACGTGCGAGCCCACCCGGGTGAGGGGACACAGAGTTCGTGGACTGATGCACTGAAATCCAGGGAAGTGAGTGAACTTGGCTGGGTGAGGATGCTGTGGGGCTCATGGGCTGGGCTGGGTGCCACTGTGTCCTTGTCTTCTCACACGTGGAAAAGCCAGGACTGCCGGGCTCAGCCAGATGTGTGTTCATTTGTGTGAGGGGTGAGGGCTTCAGGGGAGGGCGAAGTTCCCACAGAATGTGTCAGACACTCCTTAGACAAAGGACACCCCCCGTGGCATATCTGCAAGCTTTTATCAGCGGCAACACCTTGATGGGAACTGAAGAGACACAAAAAGCCGTGAGAACAAAGATCCCAGCAACTAGCAAGTGAGAAAGGGGGTCTGGTTAAAAAGGAAAGGCGCTGAAAAGGAGCGGGGTGAGCTCAGTTGTTCGGGTACTATTGTGCCCACCAAGGATTTTTGAGCAGCAGGAACATATATCCCTTGGCGTGTCATTCCCTGAATGAGGAGTCACTCACAGCAGAACAAGAGAGGCAGCGAATGAGAAAATCAAACACGAGCAGGCAAGAGCTGCAGAGAAAAGGAGCCCACAGCAACTTGCCAGGGCAGCTGTTCTTGGGGCAGGACGACAGTGGGATTAGGAGTGCCATCATGACTCTTGTCTTCTTCCAGGTGTGCTGAGACTGGCAAAGCAGAAATAGAACTCGAAGCAACAGAATGCCATATGGGCTCTGCACAAGGTCAGCTCCCTTCCTAGCTACACGTGGCAGTGCCAGGTCACAGATGTCCTGGTAAATCAGCCCTTGTACTTTCATAGCACTGTGCCTCCTTTAGCCTTGAACTCCGGGGACTGAGGTTGCTTGCCACAGATGGTGGCACTTCTCTGGAGCCCGGCTCTTTTTGGGACTCTGCCACATGCCAGCGGTGCACAGCTGGGCCCCCGGGCAGGAGTTCAATCCCAAGGCCCCCTAGCCTATGGGAGTGACAGGACTTCAAGTCTGTGCGAGCTAGCAATTAAATCAACTTTGCTCTCACTTCCCATATTTCACTTCTACCTCCTGTTTAGCAATATTTTGGGTAGAGGGATGTTTTATTTTCCCTCTGTCAGTCCTGGGGGTGGCTGAGTTAGCAAGACAAGAAAGTATTTGGCACTATGACCCAGGGCAGGTCTCTTCAGTTGCAAGGACACCTGGGTACTGCTTCTTTCATGATTGCATTTGCTGTTGTAGGATGTGGTTTAGCTTATCAGCTTTTGATAACAAAGTTCATGCTTTGCAGCCAGGCAGAAGTGCATCAGGAAGTGAGAAAGGAGAAGCCACAAACTACAGCATGCCAGATGTAGAATCAGCCGCAGCACAGTAGGGGCAGCTGTGATTTGGATGAAGACCCTGCCTGGTTCTGTTTTGATCGAAGCTGCTTTGTGGGTTTGGTGCCTGGATCGAGACTTCTGCAGTGGGAGCAATCACCAAGCAGCCAGCCGGCATCCACACTTGGCTCTTCTCCAGCAGTGAGGTAAGGCAGACGGGAACATCTGGAGAGCTGGATGGTCTGGCACCTTGGGCTCCAGTCCCTGTGAGCTGCTGTGCACACGCTGCCAGCCTGACCACGGGGCACTGGGGGACATCTGCCCCTCTTCAGTTGTCCTGTAGACCTAGAGATGCAAGGCTCATCTCTGTATTTATTCAAGCTGAGGCTTTATTTGGGATCCTCTGATACTGAAGGCACAGGCAGCCTGCAGAGCTTACTTGCCAAGGTGCCCACCATGGGAGCCCTCTTCCACAGGACTCAGATGAAGAGGGGTAGCATCTCTAAGGAGGAGATAGTAACAGTGTGATCAAACCTCATGAGTTAAATACAGAGGTCTCAGCTTTTATCATGTGTCTCTCTCTTTAAAAACAAGCTATCCTAAGTCTTGAATGTCTTCGAGGTTCTAACCATCACAAAAAATCTAATTTCTTGAGTAGAAAAAGAGATTGAAAAGTGGGGTTTGGATAGCACCAACAGCAGGTAGAAAGGACCCCCATTTATTAAAAAAAATATATCTCCAGTTTCTAGAGTAAAGTCGGGTGCATTCTCTGAGGTTTGACACATTTTTGTTGTTTCCTCTTTGGTTTTAGAATAAGTAAGTGAGCTCATGCAGTTTAAGTTCAGCACCCCAATGCCACGTTTGCTCTCTGCTTTCTCATAGTAGCCCCAAAACTCCCCATGGTTTTAGTGACAGACCACTAACTGAAACACTCACCCTGCAGCATGCTCATGAGTATTTTTCCAGCTTTCTTTTTCCACCTCATTTCTCAGCCTCATGCTCAGATTTTTCATCATTTTTGTAGTGCTTGCAGGCAGCAACTCCTAGTAAGACAATGCCAGGAGAGAGAGGATTCCCAGGACCAGGCAGCAAGACACCAAGCACACATCCCCATCTCAGGGCATGCCTGCCTGTTCTGGACCCTGTATGCAAGTTCATTTAGGGCTTCTCACCTCCCCAAAAGAAAAAAAAGTCAAAATCCCACGGATTTTGCAAGTCACAGTCTTGGCAGTTGATGGTATTCAGGGGCTCAAATTGAAGAAAAAAAAAAAGAAGGTTCCTCCACCTCCTGGAACACATAAGGTCAGTCACCATACAGAAAGTTTCTTCATGATTTAATGAGAGCATCTTGTTGTGAGGAGGGGGATTATTCAGCTGTGGTACCACTGCCTCCTTATACAGCTGGTGGCTTGAGATCTCTTGGCAGCTTTTGTGCAGAGCAAGGAGTACTTGGGGTTCTTTTAGTTCCACAAGGAACTTTTGACTCTCAGACATTAACCAGCAAGGATAATTGGTCTCTCTCTTCTGCCAGCCTACTTCACCTATCCATAGCTTTCCTTTTTAGAGAAGGACAGTCAAAGCAGGACCTCCAAAGCCCACTGGAGAAACTCTCTGCACCCACAACTTCATCTTTCCAATGGCTGTGTCTGTCTACATCTTATTTCAGGTCTTGGTCTCAGTATCTGTTATGGCAAGTCTGAGACTATCAGCTTGGCTTCCATGCCAACACTATAGCAGACTCTTTCTTCTGTGTTTCCATCTACCCATGAAAAAAAATCCCCTCAAAAACCCCAATCTATTTTCTGCTCTCAGTGATCTTTGCTGCCAGCTTAGAACTGTGCTGATCAGTGTCTCGAAGGCTGAAAGGCTAGAGTAGGAAAAACCACTCAGAAAAGAAAGAAAACATGGTGGTGGGCAAAAAAATGATCAGGTTTCTTTCACTAGTATTCATGTCATGTAAGCCTGGGAGATTTCCACAGCAGAAACTCTTTTTATGAGATGCTCATAAAAGGACTGTCTCTGGTCAAAACAGTAGTAGGATCAACCACGGAGCAGCAAGATGAACTAAACATTGTCTAAAACCACACGGCTCCTACCCCAGAGGTCTGAAAATAACTGAAGGGTGGAAGACCTGACTAACTGTGTTATAGAAATCTTTGCTTAAAACAGCTCTTAAAAGCAGACTCAATTTAAGAAAAGGCTCTTGGGGGGTTTCAGACCAGGGAGCTTGATGGTTTTGCTGAACAAATTAGTAGAAGCTACAATAAAGGAAAAAATCAATTGGCATGCAGTCACATCTAATTACTGGGGAAAAGTCATCATGGCTTTTATAAAGGGGTGCTGTTCCCATAGTTCTTCCTTAAAGGGCTCAATACGCATATGAACAGTGGCCCATTTGGATTTCCAGAAGGCTTTCAAAAGCGGTCTCACCAATAGCACTTAAAAAAATTTAAAGAAAATGTTCCTACTAGGATAAAAAGTGCCTAAAAGAAGGGACAGAGAATGAAGGTGGAATGGTTGTTTTTCTCAGTGGAGTTGTCAGCACCTATGCTGAGGCTTGGACTGTTTGACTTATTCATGAGGGATGAATAATAAAATAACAAATCTGTTGGAGATATAAAATTATTCAAGTTTAAAAATATGAGGTTTGGCTGCAAAGAACTGCAGAGTTTAGGAGAGGTGTGAGTGACTGGACTTAAACTAACAGCTGAAATTTTATCTAGTGAAGTGATGGGAAAAAGCAAACTAAAGTGACCATTACCACTTGCAAATGAGATCTCCACCTACACAGCTCAGTGTATCCACATCATCAGCACTGCGTGTTTCCAGCACCCCAGCACAGGGCTCACAAAGGCAGTAGCAGAAGTGGAAAGGTACTGAGAAGGGTAACAAGGATGTTCGAAAGTACAGAATAGCTTCTCTACAAGAAAAACCTATGAAGACAAGGACCCTTTAGCCTAAAAAAAAAAAAAGAAGTTGCTGAGTGGGAATATGGCAGACATTTACAATATTATCAGACATGGAATGAAGGTGGATAGGGATGGTTTTTGCCCTGTCTGTTCCAGCACTAAAGCTAAGAATTTAATCTCACTGATGATGAATCAGAGATGGGAAGTGATTCTTCACCTGAGGCACAAGTAAGCTGTGGAACTCCTTGACACTACTGGCACTGGATAATGTAGATGGTAAATTTTATATAAACTCAAAAAACAACTGAAAAAAACCCAATTAAATAGAAGTATCTACTGAATAGAAGGACTACTGAATACACCTAAGTCACCTGTGCTCAAAAAATTCCTGGGCTACAATTGATGCTGGAAGCAGGAAGACAACTTGAGGCAGTGTAACTACATGATTGTACTGTTCTTAACATAATCCCTTCACCATCCTCAATTTGAGATGTATTATTAGTGGTAGAAAGCCTGATACAGTGTGGACTGTGCTTACATATTATATTCTCTAGATCTGTTAATTGAATGCCTCTGGAAAGCTTGAAAAAAAAACACGTCTGTAGAGATAAGTCCTTTTCACCTCGTATCTGGCTGGTCTGAGTACGTGTTACAGCAGGTCATGGTCACTCACTAAGTCACAGTCTCAATAACTTTGTTTCCATCAAGATAAAGGTCTGACCAGTTTGTTCAGTCTGCAGTTCATTGCAGGGTTTTGGCTCTAGCAAAAGCTGACATATGCTCCTAGAATTATAGAATCACAGAATATACTGAGTTGGAAGGGACCCATCAGGATGATCAAGGACCTGGCCCTGCACAGGACACCCCATTGTCCAAACACTTCTTGAACTCTATCAGGCTTGGTGCTGTGACCACTGTCCTAGGGATTCTGTTCCAGTTCCCAGCCACCCTCTGGGTGAAAAACCTTTGCCTGCTATCCAACCTAAACCTCCCCTGACACAGCTTCAGGCCATTCCCTTGGATCCTGTCACGGGTCACCACAGGGAAGAGATCAGTGCCTGCCCCTCCTCTTCCCCTCCTAGGAACTTGTAGACCACAATGAGGTTTCCCCTCAGTCGCCTCTTCTCCAGGCAGAACAGACCAAGTGACCTCAGCCGCTCCTCATATAGTTTCCCCTTCACCATCCTCATGGCCCTCCTTTGTGCATTCTCTAATAGCTCAATGTCTTTTTATATTGCCCAAAACTGCACACAAGACTCAAGGTGAGGCTGCATCATTGCAAAGCAGAGCAGGACAATCACCTCCTTTGACCATTGGTGATGCTTCTCCTTGAGAATTTTTGAAGCATGAAACATTTCACTTGAAACCAACAACATTCTTGCATTTTTGCTGTGTCAGCTTATACTCCAAACTTGCACGAGACTTCATGCAAAGTATTCATCTATTAGGAAGGGTAGAATCCACTCAGATATAGTTTGATAAACCAGTAGAAGTTTCTCTAAGAAACCTGTTTTGATGATGGACCTGTGCAACAACACGAAGGGATGGGCAAGTTGATAGCTGTCTACACTCTTGTATTAGGTTTACACTTCCACTGTTTAACATGTTGTCACCAGAATGATTCTCTTTCTCTCTATGAGGTCAGCACACGCTTCTGTCTGCAGCAGATTTGCTCTGGATCTGTGCATTGCCACACAATGCCATCCAGAAGGTCTGACATGCTTGACATGCCTGTCAAGTTGCTGAGTAATATCAATCTCATGTAAAGATATTCTCTAGACAGAGAATTCTACTTTCCTTTTGAAGTAAATCACAATCTGCATGAACTCTTATGAGGGAGTCCCTGTTTGACCCCTGCAAACAACTGTGGGGGACTGTGCCACAACAATCCCTGTCTAGTGTGAGTCCCTTCCACAGGATGCAGTCCTTCAGGAACAGAGTGCTCCAACATGGGTTCACCATGGTCTTCTCCAGGGGCAACAGGGGAATCTTTGCTCCAGTGCCTGGAGCACCGCATTCCCCTCCTTCATTGACCTTGGTGTCTGCAGGGCTACTTCTATCACATATTCTCACTTCCCTTCTCTGCCTTCAATTGTTGTCTCACAGTAACTTTTTCCCTTTCATTATCTCAGAAGTGGTACCACCATCACTGATGGGCTCAGCCTTGGCCGTGGCAGGTCCCTCCTGGCATTGGCTGTATCAGACAACCAGAGGAAATTTCTGGTACACTCTCACGGAGCCACACCTACAGCCCTGCCAACTATAAAAACCCTGCCATGCAAACCCCAGTGCTGCTATTACATCACCTGGAGCCTTCTCTTGTCCAGCTGAACAAGACCAATTCCCTAAGCATCTCCTCATGGTGTGCTTCAGCCCCCAGACCATTTTGGTGGCCTTCCACTGGGCTCACTCCAGCTGATCAGTGTTTTGACAGTGCTGCTAGTTAGTACCTAGAGTGGTTACCAGCCTCACACTGCTTTATAGTCATGTTTGTCCACATGAATCCCATGGCACTTCCTTTTTTATTGTGCTCCCCTCCATGGCTGTGCTGCTCTGCATTTCTGGGCTGTGTTTCTCTGCTGGACATGGGCTGCTTCAAGCTTTAGAGTGTTATAAGCAGCAGAATGAGAACATGCAATCCAAATAAGCATCGCTGGTCCCATGCAAGTAAGGACACCAAAGGAACTGTATGAATGTAAGAAACATAAGGAACTTGAAGTCATTGGAACTGAGGTTTGTGTGTGTTGTTTTACGTAAGAAAAGGAGATTGGGTGGAGTTGGGTCTAACTGTACTATAATTCTTTTTATCTGCAATGGATGTACAAAGTCCATTTTCTCTGATATAAAACAGTACTATGTAATTTTTATTTTAAGTCTCTTCCAGTTTCCTTCAAAACACTGCTCTCTTCTTTTTCTTTCTCTTTCTCTGGAGCTGCCTCAACTACTTTCCCTGTGTGCTTGTGGTGTCCCTTTCTTGTATTCATATGCTCTCAGCAGTGATCAAAGCAAAGTGCATTTTCTGGGGCTGAGTGATAAATGATTCTGTACAACAACCACCTTCTCTGTGCTCTGTCTTCTACTGCCATGTAATTACTCACTTTTCTAGTGTCCATTTTCCCTCATCTTTTGATTTCTTTGTGAGTTCTTGCTGCAAGAGCCACCATAGTGGGATTTTAACATTTCAAGATATTTCCTCCTCTAACTTAAACTCTTCTGTTTTGGTCTTCCACTCTGACCAGGAATTCTACTGACTGCTGGCAATGATCCTCCATTGCCTTGTCACCTCATAACCACTGGAAAGAATTGCTGAACTAGGGGCAGAAGCAGACTCCACATTACCATCCCTTCCAGGTGACCACAGACCAGCAATCCAAAGCAGTGCCAGCTGAGAGAGATTTTGCCCATCTACCTCCCAGCTGCAGATGACAGGAATGACCTGCCCGTGGCTTCTAAGAGGGGAACGATTTCTCTCAGTGCTCTTCTTTGTACCTCCTTAGCCCATCAACAGGCTCAGCCATCTCAGCGAGACCATCCCATCATCCATGCCGGGCATGTCAGCGTCCAACACATCCAATACATCTCAGACATGCAAGGATTACACCTTCAACCACCACTTCCTCATGCCTGTTTACACCCTGATATTCATCACAGGTTTGATACTCAATGTGGTAGCCCTGTGGATATTCGTCCGATACCTGCGCCTCAAGTCCGTAGTGATGATCTACATGTTGAACCTGGCCATAAGTGACCTCAGCTTCACACTTCCTCTGCCCCTGCGACTCTACTACTATTCCAACCACCACTGGCCCTTTGGTAGCTTCCTGTGTCAGGTCTCTGGCTCAGTCTTCCAGATCAACATGTACGGTAGCTGCCTCTTTCTCATGTGCATCAACCTGGATCGCTACGTTGCCATTGTTCACCCACTTCGCTGGCGGCATCTGCGGCGCCCCAAGGTGGCCAAGCTCCTCTGCCTCATCGTCTGGGTTGTGATCTTCATGGGCTCCATACCCACAGCCATAGTCCACAAACAAAACCACTGCAAAGTAAAAAACCAGACCATTTATTTGTGCTTTGAAAGCTTTAGCGACAACATATGGCAGAATAACCTCTTCCCTCTGGTAATCCTGGCTGAAATCCTGGGGTTTCTCCTGCCTCTCAGCTCTGTGACGTACTGCTCAATTCGGATCTTTCAGGAGCTCTGCCAGCCCAGCCAGACGAAGACCGTGCGACAGCAGAAGACTGTCCGTCTCCTCTTGGTCAATCTGGTCATCTTCATCATCTGCTTTGTGCCCTACAACACTACCTTGGCGGTTTATGGGATGATAAAGGCCCGGGTGATGAAGGTTGAGGCAGAAACCCAGGCCTCCGTGCGCCAAGCGTTAATTATAACAATGATGTTTGCCAGCATGAATTGCACGCTGGACCCCTTGATCTACTACTTTAGCACCGAGGGTTTCCGTAACACCTTCAAGAAATTGAGGAGAGGACAAGCCTGGGACTCAGAGATGGGAACACTTAAGCATCAGATTGTGGAGAGTAAGTCAGCCCGAGACCATGCTGTGTCTAAAGCAAAGCTGTTCCCTTCTGAAAACTTTATCCGTCCCAGTGAATCTTCACCATCACTTCCTACTCCAGTATTTCTGAATGGCCGTATTGAGGACTCGGAAATTTAAGCCTGGGAAAGCTGTACCATTGCCGAGTCACACATGCAGTAACTACAGCAAGCCTGTGGGATACAGCAAACTGTTTGAGGGAGCACAGCAGACTGTCTGTGGGTGAACATGATGATGCAAAGCTGAAGAATGAAAGGTTGTTTTGAATAAACAGAGGTGCCTTCGTGACATGGTCATACCTGATTCTTTTGGTACAGGAAGCACAGTGGGGAACAAGGATTTGAAACAAACTTAGTGTGTCTAGGTCCAGTCAGCATGAATTCCCATAGCAAGTCCATCCTGTCTGAGTAGCTCCTGGCTGCACTGCAGCCTGAGGCAGTTCTGGGGATCATCAGAACACAGATAAGTTACTCACTGATGACAAAGTGAATTTACTAGCAGTGGCTGAGGAAAACCTTCAACCAGATGTTTCAGTTTGAGTCATAGGTCCAGCACAGGACACCTAAATGAGTATCTTAATTTTCCAAAAGAACTGAAGCATTTAGCAAGCTTTGTTAAGGTCAAGGAGAATAGCTGAGATTTCAATAATCTTGCAGAAAATAGGTTTCTAATTGTAGAGAAAATCACAGACCTTAGCAAAACAATCTTCAGGAGGTATGTCAAATGTGCAGCTTTTGTACACACACACACGTGGCACAATGGCTATACATTTGCTGAAAGCAAAATGGCTTAGGAAACACTAGCATACTTAAAAAAATTACATTCACAATAGACGCAGAAAAAATGAGATTATACCAATATTGTCATCGTGTCAAAAGCTCATGCTGACATTAGTGCTCTGCACTCTCTTGTTGCTGACCCCTATATAGGATGATTGATTTCAGACCTGAGTGATTTTCACTGTTGAAAAGGAATGATGTCACAGAATGAGGCTGTGGTGAAATGTATTCTCTTGCACTGTTTGTACATGCTTTTTCAGACTGTACTGTATGTGAAAGCCCTATAAATCTCCCTAGAGCTGAGATCCAGGTGTACACAGGCAGTGCCAGAAGCCCCAGTTTTTCACTCCTGCTGATGGCCAAGGGTTGCCTTTCCAATTGCACTGCAGAACAGCCTCTCTGTGGCTTCCAGCAGGTCTCAGGCTATTCTGGAGTGGATCCATTACAGTGGTTTGGTTTTGGTTTTTTAATGTTAAAGGAAAGGTCAGGAAAAGTGACAAGAAATGTAGTCCAAAGTGCTAGGGTTTATAGTTTTTAGACTTCTCAATAAGCAATAAATCTGGTTTCAAGTTACTACCTCACGACTGCTGTGGGAATAAATGTATTGTAATACATCACAGGTTTGTGTTAGGAGACACCGGGTTTAAATCCATTTTTCCAGTCTCCCTTGAAGACCCTCTCTTTTATGAGAGATGACTGCAGAAGCAGGTCTTCAAGAAGACCTGTAGAAGAAGATGAGCCTCTCCACAGAGACCTCGTTGTGTGACCGCCTGCCTGTGAGACATACACCCTAGCTGAGCCAGCTCTATCCCCTTGCTCAGCCCATGCATGACCAGCAGAGCAGCCTTGAAATTCATTTGCATTTATGAAGAACATTTAATAGTGCCCAAGAGATGCAGGGAGAGAGGTGGAAGAGGGCTGGCAGGGCAGTAGATATTTCTATTTTGAAAACTCAGGACTGCCATGAAACCTTTGTGACATAGTATACCTGGAGAGGAAACAGAGTTGTGTGCATCTCTTCTGCTACCCCTTTGTCCTGGAATTTATGGGATAACGGAGTGATATTACAGCAGATGTACTGCTGTCCATTTTCAAACCTTCCCCCACCTTCCTCCTTCCTAGACTCCTTTCCTTGTCCCTGTTCCTCTGGTCCTTTCTCCTTTCCCTAATCTAATGCACCATGCACCTAAGCATCAACATAATGCCTTCACAGCTATGTTTTCTTCCCTGCCCAGAAAAGTTACTTTTTCTTTCCTTTTCACTTGGCTAGAGTGCTGTTATAAGTTGATGGAAATATTCGTGTGAGAAGGGACTTCTGGAGGTCTCTAGCAAGACTGCCTGCCCACAGAAGGTTGCTGGGGGCAGTGAGGGCTGGCAGCTCCCTAAAGGAATAAAAGAGCTGAGATCCCGATGTGTAAAAAGGCAGGCAGAAGAGGCTTAGCAAGGGAAAGCATCTGAGCAAGGGGACAAAGGCAGGTATAGGCAGATAGCCGGGTTCAGCTGAGAATCCAGATCATCAGACAAGCTTGTGGTGATGAGGCAGGTCCAAGGTCAAAGTAAGAAGTCCAGTTAGCATCAGCATCAGGTCTGGAGACAGGTACCAGGATGAGCCACAGTCCAGAGATTGCCTGACAAGTCCATCATGACAAAGCAGGTCTTGGGTTAAGCCAGGAAGCCTATGCATGGGTCTAGCTCCACAGATGGCATGGTCAGGCACAGGCCAGACTGCTCAGATAGGAGCCAAGGGCAAGAGCACCAGCCTAAAGGCATCTCCTGGGGCCAAGAGTCAGTCTTGGCTGAGGCTCCAGCAGAGCTTTCTGGAAACTGTCCCCAAAGGCATCGGAGGGAAGAGGCTGCCCTCAGCTCCAATGCCTCTGATCTGTCCCCAGGCTCATACAGCCAAAACCACAGGAGCAGAAAGAAGTACTTGGGACCCCAAGGCCGGTCAGGTTTCTCAGAGCCTTGTCCAGGTGTCTTCTGAGCACCTCCAAGGATGGCGATTCCTGAGCTTCCTGAGGTACCCACACTAGTGCTGAAACATGCCCTGGGGAGAGGCTTTCCCTAATGCTCACCAGGATTGTTGCAAGTCATGGCAGTTGTGCTTTCTCAGGACCACTATGAGCAGAGTCTGGCTCTATCTTCTCTTGGCAAGCTTGCCAAGTAGGAATGAAATGTCAGCTGGCAGATGTCACTCCTTCGGAAGAGGCTGCTCCCCTCCTGAAGTTACAGTATCCTCCACAACACACTTCTCAAAAAGCACATCAGAAAACATGATCTTTTCTTGTAGCTTCATTCCTGAAAATAGTGGAACTATTTTTACCTGGAATATTTCATAAATATTCCACCTCCAGCAGAGGAAATTTTAGCTCAATTATTTTTACTAAATTATAAATAACTGCAAAGCTGATCTCTTAATGAATCTGATCAACCATTTTAACAATAAAGAGGGCTGCTGGTCATGTTGAACACAGCAGAAAAGTTCCTGACTTTGAGTTTCTGAAGGCTTTGCTTAATTGTTACATACAGCCAGTGGTGGGCCCAGTGTGGGCTGTTGCATTTTCTGCTTTGGGTATTCAATCTTTTTCAGCTTGCATTAGTTTAGTTTTGGTTTTGAGGATTCTCGTCAAATGTAATTGCTTTGGATTCTAGAGGGGATTTTGGATTTTTTCATGTTTGACAGAGAGAATTGGTGTTAACTAAATTTCTGCTTCCGCATTTTTGCTTTGTAAGCTTCAGGAGTTTTTATTCCATCATATGGTGATAAGGAATAGCACATGTATGTGCTGTCTTGTAGTGAAATGAGTCATTCACCCTTATCTTGCTTTATGGCTTCATTTTAATCAATGTATAAAAAAAGCCAGGCAAACAAATCTGAAAGTTCTAGGGTACGATGGTGTCCAACAATACAAACAGAACCACTTGAAAACTTGTGTTTAGAAAAACAGGGGCTACGTGAAGCAATGGTATTCAAGAAGGGAAAGTTAAATGGGAATATAAGCTTAGCAAAGTCTTTTCAACCTGTATAGGTGACCTTCTACATCCTACTGTGATAATTCTTGAATTAGCATTCTTGTTAAGTATGTCAGAGGTAAAAGGTGCCATTGCCATTCAATACTTCCCTGTACTTTGTGTCATTTGCAGAGGTGAACATTAAACAAATGTCTCCTCATCAAGTAAGACTAAACAAGTGAAAGGTCAGAGAGATGGCAAAAGTGCACAGAATACTTGTTCTGTATGGGTAAGAGAGTATCTACAAAAATGTACAAAGTCCTTTGACTTCCAGAATGGATATGTCTTATGCTTCTGGAAATGGTTCCCTACTTGGATGATATACAAAAGTATTGTTATGACTATTAATCATGACTGTTAATATTAAAATGTATTTTATACTTTCTAGAAACCCTCTGATACTCTGAGTTCTGTAAGTAGGCTTGAAAAGATGTTTCAGAAAGTCCCAGAACAAGCCAGACCTTATCTTCAAATTGCTTTTATTACTGTTTTGATTCCTTCCACTGCGTACTGGCTGTGTGCCTCCCACCGCTAGATGTATCCCTACAACAAAACATGTATTTTGTATTACAAATGCCCTGAGCAACTTCAGCTGTGCCTGCTTTGAGCTTGGGAGGTAGCCCCTGCCTTCCACTTCCCCCCTATTGCTGGGAGTTGAAACGGATGTCCTCCAGAGGTCCTTCCAACCTAAATAATTGTGTGGTTCCCTGACCTTGTGTTTTAGATGCTGATCTGTCTTCCCAGGCATTTTTTTCATTATCTTTCCCTCCCAGAGTTGCTCTTGCTCGGATTACACTTTGCATACCCTGCTTGCCTTTCAGCTGCAGAGTCCTTGATCCTGTGGCTGAGTGCAGCGAAAGCTTCACATTTTGTGTGTTGCTTTTGAAGCTTTTTTTGCAAACTCGTGTATTCTGCAGTGCCAACAGCATCTCGGCAGAGGCCAGGCTGCCGCTGAGCTGATGCTGCTGTGCATTCTGCTGACCAAAACGGGCTGAGGGTTTCCTTATTGTTTCCCACATTTCCACTGTCTCTGCTCTTGCACTCGGAGAGATCTTTCGGCATGGATCTTTTTTTTTGTTTGTTTGTTTTATTTGGTTTGCACAGCATCTTGAGCAGCGAGACAGCGACAGTGAGAGCTCCCAAACAAAATAAGAAGAAATAGTGTAATATCACTGAAGAACCTGCTATGCTGCTGATTTTGTTTGAGGTTATCCGGGAGTCTGCACGTACTGAAGTCAGGCATAGCTATGACTGCTTTTACCTGTTTCAGACACTGACAGTGACAGTGATAGTGATAAGGCTTCCATGGTAGCTGTAAAATCTCCCTGTCCTGCATATGCTGTGTCCTGAAGGACAGGCAGTCAACCCTCCACTTGAGCCCCTGAAATACAAAGGAACAAGGAAGAACTTTTCTCCCAAGGAGGGCAAGAGGTGGAGGGAGAGGATAAAACTTTTCACCTTGAGGAGATGACAAAAGAGGTTTTCTAACACCATGCGAAAGGAAAAAAAAAAAAAAAAGAAAAAGAAAAAAGGGGGAGAGGGGGCGGGGAAGAGAGGGAAGAGAGGCGGTGCTGAGCCGACCAGAGGAGGCGCGGCTCCCGCCCCGCTCCCCGCCCGCCCCGCGGTCTCCGCGGCCAACAGCGGCCCCCGGCGGCGCCTCGGGCCGGAGCGGCGGCACCCTGGAGGGGCTCCGGGCGCACGGACCCCGGCGCTTCTGAGGGGCGTCCGCTCCCTCAGCACCGGCCCCCGTCGAGATGCACCGGGGCAAAGCAGCTCCTCTCAGCTTTTGGAAGAAAAGCAATTTATAAAGAAAAAAATATGTTAATAAAGGCAAGAAGCTGTAAAACTGAAGAAAGTAAAGGTGTGAGTGTTTCTTCACTGGCAGCAAGGGGAGAAAATAAGTTAATTTTGTTGTCCGGATAGTAACATCCCGGTAAGGTGAAAAGAATAGAATGGCAAAAGCATCTGGAAGAAATTTAGCCCGTGGCACGGGTCAGGGTCTTCCTGAGGGTTTTACCTGATCAGAACCTGGCAAACGTTGAACTCACACATTCAGGGATATCTTCGATAAATAAAAGCACATCCCCACAGAAGGTGTCAAAGCCCTGAGCTTTGAGTCGAGAAATGCCAGACTTACGTTTCTCCTCGTGGACTCCTTGTGCACAGGTGCCGTGGTTGTCCTTCCTTACGCAATGACAGATTGTTTTCCCCTCGAAGCCCCTTCTTTGTTCACCCATGTAGGAAGAACATCAGTCACAGAGAGAAAAATAAGTGGCGTTTTGCTTTTTTGGTTTTTTTCTATGCTGTATACAAATCCATCAGCTATCTACTAGACACGTGTACTCCATTCTGCAAACAGTGTTCCTGATCTTCTCCCGCTTTTCTGTAGTATTTACTATTCCTGCATCCAATGGCTTCATAAATTTGAATTAACATCATTCTCAGGAGGTCCATAAGCTGATAAGGTATTATTGCTGTTTTATAGGCAGGAAACTTAGTAGCTAAGATGTATGTTCTGTACTACTTTGGATGCACTTTCTGGGGTGCCATATAGATATAGCACATATCCATC